GCGAAAGGGCTGGCAGATCTGAGTAGGAAGCATAACCTAAAATATGAATAAAGACAATCTGGGAGCTCCCATCTTCCCTTCAGTGTTTTATCTTAGAGAGAGAGAGAGAGAGAGAGAGGGAGGGAGGGAGGACACAGCTGCAGAGACCAGGGTTGGGAATGTAGAATTTTAATTCCTACCTCCCACTCTCCTCCCCTTGGTAGCTGCTTGGGTTGGTACCCTGAAATCCTGAGAAGACCAGAGGCCTAGATTCCTGGAGGGGGAATGATTAGATTTGGCTGTGTCTGTTGAACCCTTTTCAAGGCACAAAAAACCAACAAGGGCTCCTGAAATGAACCTAAGAGACTCGAGCTCTCTGGCCAGAACTTGTGCTCCTGCTGGGCTCTGACATGGGTTCAGAGGTCTTGGTATCTTCAGATCCTTTCATCCCAGACCTACCAAATTTAGTCCTGTGAGTTCAGGGACCCACAGAGGTTGACAAGGAACAAACACCCTCTGCAGACTTACTGGATGCCAGACATTAAAACCCAGATTCTCAGCATCCCAGCTAGAAAACAGGACACTTCCTTGATCCTAATCCCAGAGATAACAGATGCACATCCTGTGTTGGGAATTTTTGAGCTTACAAATTAGAAGTCACCCTGACTCACCAGAAGATTCTGCTGCAGAATTTGTTATACTTCCCTAATAGGTATTCCTCTCCCAAGTCCCATGTTTTATAATGTTTGTTTGAGGGAGGAAAAAAAGTAAAAGAATTTTGACTTTCCTCAGGAAATAACAGACATGGCTGTGGTGACAACTGCTCCAGCATTTCCATAGCACCTGAGCAGAGGAGGTTACTCAATGACACCTAGCATCACCCAGGGTTCAACAGGATTCAATCCCCAGTACATACTCAAAACAGACGATGGTTCACTAGAGGTCGTTTCCCAAATCTCGGTCATTCTGGCAGTGCTGGGAGTGTTAAGTATGGCAGTAGTCCCTTCATCACATTCTTTGCAGAACTACGTAGAATTCTGGATCTTTATTCCCCAGTCTCTGCAGGGATATTCAAGAATAGTAGAGCTGGTTCTCCATAGAACAAACCCCAGTGGGAATTAGTCCAGGAACCCTGAAGGAGAGCTAAAGAGGGCCTGCTCTAGATCAACCACGAGGTCCTTCAGTCTTCTGAACACCAGGGCAGAAGTAACACCTCTGCTAGAAAAGACCAGCTGAGTGGACTCTAGAAGGAAGGGTTCCCTGTTCTCAGGGTCAGCCATGCAGAAATACTATGGAAATGATGATCAGGTGGGCACCATGGCTTCTGGAGCCACCACGAGCTTCACTGGGCACTGCCAGCCATCAGAAAAGATGTTCTGCTGGTTGTAGGTGTTCAGGCAGCTCCAGGAAGCCCCTACTTCTTTCCACCTCTGGCCAACTAGAATCTCTCTGGCCATGGGCACCACCTGCTCTGGACTACCCCTGACTTCTCCAGAAGCTGCCAGGCCTCTGGAGACAAGTCTGTCTGACTCTAGCCTGATGAGACCAGTCCCAAAAGTCTCCCTGGCTTCCAAGGCCCAGCCCCTGTCTGCACTGGAGACAAGTCTGCATTAATGCCCACCCACTCAGGCAGGAAGGCAGCCTCAGGCTTGAAGACCTTCAGGAACTCTGAGTCTGGCAGGGTGAAGTTGGCAAGGTAGACAGTGTCTCCACCAGCCAGGTAGGCAGCCCAGAAGCCAAAGGTGCCAACAGTCCTGACAGTGTGGTTGCACTGAATGGCAAGGACCAAGGCTATCCCTCGTGAGCCACATCACCATGGGAGGGTGAATACTTCCCCAGCACCTTCATGCCATGGATGGTGAACACAAAAATGGGGGCTTCATGCCAGGCCCAGAACCAGTCCATAGCCTGCTGAATATAAGCGCTGTCACTTACCACACCCTTCTAGCACTGGGCCAGCACCTGCAGATGTCTTCATGGTAGACAACGACAACCACAAATGTGTGAGGTCGGGTTCCAGTGAGCCTTAGGCAGAGCTGACCCAATAAATGCTGGGCCTCCTCCTGGAGCTTGTCATGAGGCGGAACTTCCTGCAGATGCTGGAAGAAAATCCAACAGCCAGGGAAACCAGAGAGCCACAGAGTAGCTTCTCCCATAACATCCAGCATAGGAAATTGGAGCTGCCAAGTTCAACCCACCACCCCACTAAAATGGACTCTCCCCTACCATCATCCTCAAAGAATGAAGCTCTCCAAGGAAACATTCCTCCATTCCCACAATGCTGGCCCCCCTTACTCATTATTCTACCCTTAAGACGGAGCCTTACAGATATTTCCCAATTCACTAAGATATTTCCCCTCTCTCAATATCCCAAAGGAAACAGATGTTTTAAAAGTCACTGTGAAGAGAGTTAATGAGTGCTTGCTCCAGATAAACCAAGGGTTCCTTCAATATTCTGAACACTAGGGCAGAAGTAACATCTCTTTGAGAAAAGACCATCAGAGTGGACTCTAGAGGGAGGGTTCCCTCTCCTGAGGGGCAGCCATTCAAAAGACTTAAACAAAGGTAACAACCCAAACAAAGGGTCTTCCATTGCCTATTCCCGTGAAGGTGCATTTCCTAGGTGACCCCTTTCTACAGTGCCTTCTCTCCATTATTCCCATCCCTTGACAAGGAAACCTGCTCCAACAGTGGATTCCTCTATTTGCCCCCACTCACGTGTAGGAGGACTCCAAAGACACACCCACAACATCAACAGAGGTTCTCACTATGCCCCTGCCTACAGGGGACACCTCCTAGAGATTTCCATACAGTGGCTCTTCTAGAAATCATGCTTTCAAACACCTGCCTCAAGGAGACAGCTTCCTACTTCATCCACTCCCCAAACAGATGCATTCCAAAGAACCCTTCTTAAAAAGGTGCTCTCGCCTCCATTCTGTAAAAATGGAAGCAGTGTATCACCTTTCTAAAATAAACCTAAGACTGTGTGCATGAATGAATGTGTACTAGTCCCACTGATATGTTCAATGCACAGATGAAAATACACTCAGGTTCCCCACTGTCACCCAAATGTGTAAATGCACACAAGTGCCAGCACCCCCTGCCTGCATCCACAGTGGACAAACGTCCCAGTGAAAACCATCACCTTTTACAAATGGGTTCATCCACTCCCCCACCAAAGAAATACAGGCTTTTCTAGATCAAGACCCTGGACACCAGTCAAGGACGTCCCTGCCCCCACCAAAGAAATACAGGCTTTTCTAGATCAAGACCCTGGACACCAGTCAAGGACGTCCCTGCCCCAGGACATGCACTCTCCTGTCACCCTCCCTCAAGAAATGATGTCTGCACGGGGTCTCCTTCCTGCAGTGGACTCTCCTTTGAAAAGACACAGCTTGCCCTCCACTTTCAGTGACAGGACCATGCCCTGTTTGTGCCTCCAGTGTAATCTTGTCAGCCATCTCCCCTCTGCCTCCTCCACACTCACACTCTGCAACCTGCTGTGCTCTTGCCTACCAGAGGACCTGAGGCTACCTCAACCAGAGGAATTCTGAGAACTACAGGTTTATCACTCTCCAGTGACAGGGGAGACATAGGGCTCTGGGTAGTTGGGGAGGCGATGCTCACGTGGGCATCCCAATAGCTCTGGATCAATAGAAAGTAGGAGCAATTGCTGGGGGCCTGGATGAGGCACTGAGTCAACTGACCAAAATCCCCGGGGTCTGCAGGTACTATTTGGGTATCAGCTGCCCCTGGGGCCATGCTAAGTGCCTGCTGCCTGCGTTCCTGCTGCCGCCTCCTCCGACCCTGCAGGCTCAGCTCTGACATGCTGCAGGGTAAGTCCAAGTTCCTTGCACCTAGACCCGGCTGGGGGCCCTGATCAGAACCCAGGACCAGGAACGATTCTTCTGTGGTCGCCATGAGGTGGCGCCGTGCCTACAGAGAGAATTAAAATGCCTGAGAGTAGAAAGACCAGGGAGAGAGAGAGAACTGAGATCATCCATCACAGGCTGAATGCCCTGTCCCTCAGTGCACAGGGCTGCGCGTCTCCAGTCTCCCTATGGCATGTGCAACCCCTGCCTCCTGCTTCAGGTCCCACGTAACAAAACTTCCTTGGCCTCTACGAACACCTCTTCCTCTAGCCCTTTGCTTTACCCTGTGCCCACAGTTGGTAGCCAACCCAGCCTAAGGCCACCTAATCCAAGGCGTGCCACCAGAACACAAGTTCCTCTCCCTCCTAGGCTCTGCCCACGTAGGCCCTGACCCTCAAGAACCGCCTCAGCCTAGTTCCCAGAGCTGCCTCCTGCCACACAGACCCACAAGCAAGTGCCACCACACCTCACCAGGCCCAACACCTCAGGCTCAGGCCTACTCAGTTCCTCAGACTCTGCCCTGGCCCCCGCAGGCCCACCCAAGGCTCTGCACAGCCTCCAGCACATTGTCCTGGCCTGTTCCTCCTCTCCTAGTTCTCTCCAACTTGGATTTCCCCCTAACACTGGCCGAATCCCTGGGAATTCGCTAGGCTCTGGCGCTTCCCACAGGCTGCTGAGCTGCCAGAACCCACCGACACCCCGCTGGGGAGCTACCACTGCTTTGGCCACCTACACATTCAGCCTCCTGCAAGGCAGCCTGGAATGCCTCCTAAGGGCCCTGACTCCATCCAGAGACACTCTGGGACACCTCCAACCACTGCCACCAGCCGGGCCACGCCCCACGCGAATCCAAGCTCCACTGAGTAGGCGCTGGGAAACCAGCAGGTCCCGCCCAGCGCTCAGATGCTGCAGCCCCGCCTTCTCCCAGGTTACTCCCCCATTGGCTCCCCCCCAACCTGCTTTAAGGTGCCCACTCGCCAAGGTTCCAATTGCAGCGTGGGTGAGTCAGTGGCTAGCTGCAGGGTTTCCTCAGGTCTGAAGATGAAGACCGGGGATCCACCTCTGCGAACAGAATCGCAGAAGGTCATCCAGAAAGACAAGCAGACACGGAGATGGGGTCCCAGGAAGGGGGAAGGACACCAATACCCCAAGAGAAAGAGGGACAGGAGTGAGAAGGGACCAGAGACAGTAAGGAAAAACAGAGACCCAGGGATGGGTTTTGGGTAGACGTAGCAGGAAAGAGAATTTAAATAAATAAAGGCCAGTCCCCAGAAGCCATTACCAAGAGGTGAGAAGGGAGGGGAGGAAGGAAGCAGAATCAAAGCGCGCCTGTGTGGCCCACCCCAGTGCCTAAGCCCACCTCTCCCCCCATGGGCCCAGGTAAACCAGTATCTGACTTCCTGCTCTCATCACCCAGGCTCCATGGCCCATTTATGACTGGACCAGGAGACAGGTCTCTCAGGGTCCCTGACAAGAAGCAATGCGTGGGGCTGAGCCCAAACCAGGGACAGATGGAAGGCAGGTGGGCCAGGGGCAGGTGGACCACTTTGTGGCTACTCACATGACAGAGGCAGGATGGGCCTGTGGCCCAGGGATTGGTGGGGAGGATGGATCCACAGGCACACAGGAGAGGGAGCTTTCCAAAGGGGGTGGGTGCTTCCACCCTCCCTCAATACACCAGATAGCCTGGCCCTAAGGGAAGGTGGATATACATCCCAAATGGGCTGGGGTTAGGGGAATGAGGCAGAGGGACATCTGGGAGATGGAGGGGCATCTGGGGAGAGGGATGGGCCCTGGACTACAGGCCCAGGAGGACTGATGGCTGCAGTGGGACCCAGGAGTCTTACCTGGCTCTTACCTGTTGCAGGTCGGGCAGCACCCAGAGGGCCTGGCTCTGATGTCCTGGGTTAGTTCCTGATCCCTTTAGAAAAGCCTGTGCCTCTGACCCAGCCCCCAGCACTGTGCGGCAGACATTAAAAGGCAAGAGGAAACCCAAGGAAGAGGTGGGAGGGGGTGTCCTGAGAAGACCAGGCCTGGGGCAGGAGATCTAGGTAGGCCTGGCCCTGGCCTGTTTCTTGGTTCTGGAATTATATCACAGTCTGCTGTCCCCTCCACCAGACCTCAGTGGTGCCACGTTCCTCACCCTCCTCCCTGAGGCCGGAGCCCATCTCCTGATCTGTCCTCTGGGGGAACATAAGGTATTAATTAGTCCAGAGGAGTGAGTCAAATACTTAGACAACAAGACACGTATTTAATTATTTTTTCACTTTGAGGTCGTTGTCCTTGATGTCTTAGATGATGTATTTTCAACTCCCTTCGAGGTCGCTGACTTTGTTGTCTTAACAGATGACGTCTTAGAAGCTGTATTTGCAAGGCTGCGTTGTGAGCACTGTTTCTGTCTGGATCTTCGCCAGTAAATTAGCCTAGGGGAGATTGAAGGAGGTTGAGAGGTGCAAATCAGGGAGTCATGTTAGGGAGGAAGCAGTTGGGACCCGCTCCCCAACTCCCAGCCCCACAGAGCTGACCTATTCAAACAACTATCAACGCCTGGCCCTCCTAGGTAAGCCCCCCACGCTGTAACTCCCACCAGTGCTCTGGAAACCTCAGTGGCTCTGCCAACTGCTCCAGCATTGGGCAGTAGGAAGCCCCGCCTCTCCCTCCAGGTCCCGCCTTCCTCCCTAGACTCACCTGAGAAGAAGGGCTGCTACCAGAAGTATTAAGAAGCAGATCAGCAGCCCAAAGAGGCGGCCTTGCAGCATACTCTGGGCCTGCGACCGCTGGAGGGACGTGATGGGCTCCAGGTGGGCTGACGTTGCTGTACTTTCTGTGGGGCTTTCTGAGTTCACATCAAACGGGCTCCCCTCAGTGTCTTCAAGCTTTTCTTTATGTTTCTCATGGCGGATTTTAGGGGGCAGCACTGATAATAGGAGGGCCAACAGCAGTCAGAGAAGGACTGAAGGCGCGCCAGCCCCAAGACCCAGGCCCTCCAGTAGAAACCTCCTAGGCAGCACTATCCCTGCCACGAGAGGCCACAACAGAAGCAAGTCCTCCAAGGCTGAAGGCAGAACCCCATCTGAAGTTAAGCTTCCAAAGCTGAGAATACTTCCTGTACCTCCTTCTTACAATACCCAGGGTCCCTGTTCTCTATCACCCCGGTACTGACCTGTGACATGATATGAAATGATAGTAGATGGGCCTGACATCACTGTGTCCAGCTCACAGCGATATTTGCCTTCATCCGCTTCAGTCACACTTGGCTTCTTCAGAGTTGATTCCTTCCCCTTGTACAGCAAGGTCTCAGAATTGTTCTCCCAAACCTAGATACAAGCTCAAGAGTATCACAGAGGCATGGGGATTTCAGGAATTGGGGAAATACAGGGCTGAGAAGCTCCCAGGGCCTCAGGAAGACAGGAATCCAGGGGATCATCAAGCAGGACTTGGGGTACCTGGGAGTCAGGAGTGACCTCACCTACTAGGCCATGGGGTTGGGTGTAGGCCAGGGGCTCATACCAGCTTGAGTGACTTGGGGTTTAAGGGTTACAGGAGTTGGAGGGCCCCACCCTGTAAAATTTGTAGTCTGTGAGCCCTTCAGAAATATGGTGCCAAGTGAGCAGACAGTCCAAGATCAGGTCTTCCAACTCATGGACCTCCACATGGCGATCTGAGGATGGAGCATGACTGTGAGATGGTTCTTCTGGGGTCACTGCCCTCCCCAAACAGTCTCAGCTCTATTTGGGCCAAGCCCTTCCCTGCCTCCTGTCTGCATTCTGAGTTCTCTGGACTGTCCCTCCTGTGGTTCCATCCTTCTCCCACCTACCCCTCCAGCCTGGTCCCATACTCACCCCCACAGTTTATGGGCTTCCGGCAAGTGTGAACCTTTTGCTCACAGTGCTGGCACCATATCAGAGTCTGAAACATGATGCCTGGAGGGGCAAGGTCAAGGCTGTATTCACCCACTAAGAGGTGGGTTTGAAAAAGGTCAAGGGGAAGGGCTAAAGGGCTGGGGGCCTGCTGGGCCAAATCCCTAGGAGGTCATCCCTCCAAGGTCAGTAAAGAGTCCAAATAGGGGCCAGGGTTGTGGGTCAGTGGTAGAGCACTTGACTAGCACACGTGAGGCACTGGGTTCGATCCCTGGCACCACATACAAAATAAATAAATAAAATCAAGGTATTGTGTCCATCTATAACTAAAATAAATAAATAAATAAATAAGAGTCCGCATAGGATACATCTGCTACCTGCAAATCCAAGCCAGAAAAAGGTGGTTGGAGACCCAGGAACCTCTCAGATGCTGCAAATGTGCATCCAGAAGGGGGGAAGGGGAGGGGTGGGTATCATGGGCCACGATGAGGGTAGAAGAATAGCTTCTGCTGTCTGCACTCACCACATTTGTTGGGACATAAAGCTGCCTCAGAAGGGAGAAAAGAAAGAGAAAAGAATCAGACTTTTAAATGAAGAAGGGTGGGAGAGGGGCTGGGGAGGAGTAGAGGTATGGGGAAGGGCCTGAGGGAGGAGACCCCTGAGGGGTCAGCAGGAGGAGGGGACTGAGGAAGCCAAGGGCCTGGATGTGGAAATGCAGGGGGCTGGAGAAAGGGACTCAGGTGGCAGAAAGGGGATGGAGTTGGACGGGTCCAGGGTTCCCATCTTTCCTCACCCTCCTTCTGGAAATGAAGAGCTTGCAGGTTAAAATCATCCTTTTCCTTGATCAGTGTGTGGTTGAGCTCTCTGATAAAGTCCTCTCCTGGGAGAGAGCAGAGTGGTGCTTAGTTCTCTCCTCCCCCACGTGTGTGTGGGTTCTGAATAGGGTCTTCAGTCTTTGGAGGCAGGCATTCTTTTTTTTTTTTTCCCCAATTGAAACAGCCTCTAGCTGTTGCTCAGGCTGCTCTGGACTCCTGATCCCTCTGATCCTCCTGCCTCAGCCCTCCTGAGCACCAGGGGCTACAGGGAATGTGCCACCTGGAGGGGCTGACATTCCATCTTCTGCCTTCTCAGGAAGGGGCACAGAAATCAAGTACTTCACACAGTGCCAGTCACTGGGCTAAGCGACGCACAGGTATCAACCCACCTAATCCTCCCAGGAGCTGACGGAGGTGGGCACTGTGATGCTGTCCAGTGTAGAGCTGAGGAAACTGCCCAGTTTCTCGCTCAGGGCCACAAGGATGGGAAGTGGCAGAGCCAGAATTTGAACTAGGCAGTTAGCCCCAGAGCCACGCATCACATCCCCAGGGTGGACATCAGTAGCAATGGCTCTCCTGCGAATTCCAGGACCCCCCTCCCAGCCCTTCAGTCATTAACCTTTTACATTACTGTCTGTGATGCGTTTCAGCTCCTTCAGCAAAGTCCGGGATACCTCTTCCAATGAGTTCTTATCTGTGGGTTGATACAGAACCCCAGATTCCACCTTTACTCCACTCTAAGGCTACTACCTCATAATATCTACCATGCCCATGGGAACACAGTGCAAGGATAGACCTAATTGTAGAACTCACTATTCTGTTTCCCTCTGGGAACTGTTTTCTTACAGACAATTGCTAGAAAGGAAGTGAGAAAACAGTGTTTGCTAGCTCTGGGAGGGCCTGGAACCTGCAACTTGCCTTCTCCATTCTCAAGATCAGGGGAACCTGGCCCATCCCCTTTCATCGCTGGCCCTGGAAATCCTGGACCCAATCCCTCTTAGAAGCACCAAAGATGAATGGGCCCTCTCTGCCCTGCCCCTCACCTATGATTCCTGCATAGGAACCCTCGATGAACGGCCGGTCCTGAAAATCTTTCAAAGTATTGTATACCATATCCATCACTTTTTCATGGTCTTTGGCTTCCAGGTGTCCAGGCAAGTAATCCTTCTCCAAGGACTTTACTGCTTCCATGACTGACGGCTCACATGTGACACAACAGCTTGCTGGAATCAGGCAGCAGGCCAGTGCAGCCAACAGGAGCACAAAACACGGCCCCATTGAGGCCTGAGCACTCGGTAGAGAAAACACCAGGAGGGTCCTCTCACGCCCGACAGAGTAGATGACTCTAAACAGAGAGAAGCCAAAGCCCATCTTAAGGTCCCATGAACCCCACATGTGCAATCTCCCCCATGGGAACAGGTCTTCAGGAAATCACCATAGGATGAAGACTTGTATGCTTCATCAGATGCTTCAGAATTGTGTGACTTATGCCCCATCCAGAGGACCCCAAATTGAGGGTCTTCATTCATCCTCAGAGATCACCAATTTTTTTTTTTTTTGAACCCAGGGACACTTAACCACTGAGCCACACCCAAGCCCTTTTTATTTTTTTTTTACTTTGGAGACAGGGTTTTGCTATGTTTCTTAAGCCCTCACTAAATTGTTGAGGCTGGCTTTAAACTAGCAATCCGCCGGCCTCATCCTCCGAGGTCCTTCAGATTACGGAGGTATACCACCAGGCCCAGTGAGATCAGCAGACATTTAAAACATTCCCCACATAAGGACCGAAGTCCGCCCTAACCATGCAGACTCTCCAAGCTGCCAATCCATGGGATCCACAGCTCCCCCACAATTAATGTGGTCCTGAACTCCCAACCTCAAGCCAATCAACACTCCTTCACACCCAAGCCCCCAAACCCTGTTGCACCTCAAGCTGAAAAGTCCATGTCCAGCTTCAATATATCAGACTCTCCCGCAGGTTCTCAAA